ACAAAGATAGCCTATCCGACACGTAGGTGAAAAGTACGTAGGTACGAAATTAAAAAATGTGATAAATGGAATAATAAATACTAAGACAGCACGATCTGGAAGTAAGGATGCGGCTCGCAAGGATCAAATTTTATGTTAAGAAATATAAAGGCTGGCAAGCACTGACCTGGACTGTCCTCAGTTGCCGTAGTCGATCCGGGCCCGGTGTGGATAATCTTCTGGCCTGATACGTCCACGACTTCCTTTTTATCCACAGGTTCGGTAGAGGAAACTGTCTTAGTATTGAGTTTGGAGCAAGGGAAAAAGATATGGGGTTGGACAAAACGTATTAATGTTAGCCGATTGCGCACGTAATCTTGTTCAGCGTTAGAACGTAAGTGAGTGGTCAATTGGTCAAAAAGTCGTTGCAAAAACGGACTTTGGATTCAAATTTTGAGTGCTTGCCAGTAAGAAAAAAAAAAGAAGGGTTAAGTGAATATTATGAAAATTTTTGACTTCCAAATTTTGCTGTTTTTAGATTCCTAAACGTAGAAAAAAAAACAATATTTAAATATTGAGTAATATACTCTGTACGCAACAATGGCCATGATTTGTATTTACGAACCAATGAGTGAAAAATACCACCAGAAAACTGGTATTTTCAATTGCACATAGCGATTGCGTACAAGGATCCAGAAATTCGCGTATTTAAAAAAAGACATACTTGCACATGAAAGAATAACAACAACAACAATATTTTTTAGGAGAATAATATGTTTATTTAGTTTAGTGTACCAATATTTTTTAAGTAAGATGGTGCGCTAGCGACTCACCTGATGCGATAATCGCTACCCATTGACATTTGCAACACCCATAGGGTTGCAAATTCTTAGCCACCTTTTAATAAACTGGGCCCCGACTACCTCACTCACCAGACGAAACAGAGAAATATAACACTTTCACTTCACGCCGGTCTTCTGTAAAGTCTCGGTACTTACCCGGACAGAACTGTCCATTGATACATCAGCGAAGACTGTTCGTGGCCATACCACATCTGTAAAACATTTCTTTATTACGCAAAAATATTATTCCTTAATTCACATTCATATAATTACTTTCATGTAAAGTTTTATTTTACTTTTATTTGTGAATTTCCAATGGATGGCAAAGCGAGACATTTGTTACGTTGGTTAAAAACGTGGGCAAAAAATGAATACAAAGAGAAAAATATATTAAAGTTGGCGACATGGTAACTACTAGTATGAATATATGAAAAATTACCCAAAATGGGAATGATTGTACTAACTCTACAAAGGTAGGCAAACTGAGAAAGTTGGCAAAGCGTCAGCAGACCCTGTTGCACCGTTACTAGCCCGGATGATGTATGCGGCGGTGACAGCACAAAAAGAAAATTAAAAAAAAACATGTTAATCAAAAAAGAGTACGGACTGCGAGTCTGTAGTTAGTTTGTTAAAAAAAACGCTTTCAGTCCCGAGACTATTAAAGCTTCATCGAACCCAGAACCGGTGGGCTAGCCAGAACCCTCGGGTTTGAGGCCCTCCACAGTTGGTAGGGCCACGCATGTGGCCACTCATGCGTGCGTTAGCTAAGGAGTGTCGCCTACGGGTTATCGAGGTTCGGTGCGGACCGTGACCCGATAGCCGTTGACTGTGCTTGGTTAGTTGGTGGCTGGGAGCGGTGAGAACCGCCCTTGAACGCAGGTGTACCTAGTGTACGCGTTATGTTGGTTTCGCCGTGCTTGAACGCCGCTGTGCACTAACTGTGTGTGTAGTGTTATCTGGCGGGTTTTTCTCTTTTCTTTACTCTTTTCTTACGTTCAAACATACCGGCATAATTATCGGAACAAAAAATGTGAATACAAAATAATTAACCTTTACATTTCAAAAATTGACAATGGG